ATAGTTATCCTTAAAGTCATTTTTTTTTGCCTTCAAAACAGTAATAGAGGGAAAATCTTTCAAACGGAACACTAGCTCTGGTGACAACTGTCTAAGAGGGGATTTCCCTTACTTCACAGAAATTAGAGGTCTAAACAATGGGGGGAATTTATCAAAACTGGAGCAGACAATATCTCGAGCAGCTGTGCATGGCAACCATTCAGCTTCTCTCTTCAGTTTGTTCAGTTAAGACAGGGATGTCCAAACTGGGGCCCTCCAGCTGTGGTGGAACTACGAATCCCATGAGGCTTTGCAAGATTCTCACAGCCACAGACATGACTCCCAGAGAGAGATACTTCATGGGCTTTGTAGTTTCACCACAGCTGGAGGGCCGGAGTTTGGACATCCCTGAGTTAAGATTTGATATTGAAAAAGAGAAGCTGATTGGTTACCTAGCACAGCTGCTCCAAATTTTGTCTGCTCCAGTTTTCATAGATTCCCTTCAATGAATATCTGTGAAATGCATATTTCCTATGCTCATCAGCTCCATCTAGTAGTCAGAATGCAGTATTACATCACAATACATTCAATCTGAAAAGAAAATATATTAAGAAAGTTTGTTTTGCTATTATTTTCAAAAACAAACTTTCATAGATATTCACATGGCCCTTGTTTATAAATAGACCCCTAACTCTGGTTTCCTGTTGTGGCTATGGGACACAGACGGCAATAAAATCTGACGGGTTATAACCATCCTTACTCTATCTAAAAGAAAAAAAAATATTTTAGCTTTACTTCTACTTTATTGTTATCGGATGTTATCATGTTCTGTCTCTAAGTGAATTTACGGTATGTTAAAATTCCTTTGGCACCTTTCCTATACTGACTGCATTTTGCAATAATCCCTCTTCACAGGTTTTAGTAACCCTGGCAGACCTCCAAATGCATGATTTCTGAATAGGCCAGTCTATTTTGCCACAGCATCAACAATTTAGACCGCAAAAGAAAAAAATGATATGGCCTACAGTCCACATATTATTTGATAGTGTGTAACAGGAGTGAAGGAATGGAGATGTAGTCCACAGGAGCCACAATAGAAGTTTAACATTAATTAACTTATTTTTTTAATTCATCACTTCCTTACAAGAAATGACCAGAATAGGCCTCTGTCTCACAAACTTTAGACTGGTCTTTGGTCCAGAGTTGGAGGAGAGCTGCACCTTTCCTACAATTTTTGGTAAATCCACCCTCCCTAACCCCTATCAAAGATAAACTGTGCTAACACCAGTAGCTCCTTCCCCATCCATGCTAAACAGTGCGGATGGGGTAGTCTCCCCTGCTGGATGTTATATTATGACAGCTAGTACTCGCTGTTTGGGCGACAGTTTTCCACCCAACCCCTTACATTTTCAGACTGAGGTTTGTCGAGCTGGGTGGTGCTGGCAGGCCAACTACAGATTGAATTTCACCTGATTCAACAGGAAATGGCCGAATATAAATCCTTGTATGGCCAACTTTACCCCTACCCTGGAATTGTGATTTTTTTTTCTGGCATAATTGAAAATCCATTTGACATCTTTTTATTTTTGCAGATTTTTTTCAACAAATTATTGAATTCACTGAGGTGCTCCGAGATTTACCATTGTTTAAACTGTGGATTGGTCCTCTGCCCTTTCTAATAGTTTATCATGCTGAAACTGTAGAGGTGAGTAAAATAATCTCTGCATACATTCACATCCTTGCTGTGTATGTTCAAGGGGAGGGGCAGTTAGTAGTTCCAGCATTTTTATAAGGGTGTAAACTAGGGAGATCTGGGATTTGGTTAGGTAGTTACAAACTTGCTTCTATTTGCATAGTTAATGGAAAGCAGCGTACAGAATTAATGCATTGTTTGCATTCCATTGAAGGAATCCCGTCGAAATAGTTTATTTAAAGGAGAACTATGGGGTCAGGGCTTTTCCCTATAGTTCTCCTTAGGGTAACGGGAAAACACAAACTAGCATCCTCCCGTCACCCTAGGCTCAGTATACCGCGAGCTACAGCTCGAGACGCCGGAGCGGATCCCGACATCGATGTCTGGATCCGCCCAGCTGCGCGAGTGACAGCTGGCTCTGCCTATCTAGAGGCAGAGCCAGCTGTACCCGCCCCCTCCCCCGTCCGTTCCGCCAGTCAGCGCTGGCGGATCGGAGCGGGGTGAGGGGAATCCAACCCCTCCCCTGTCACGGCAGAGAGCCGTGACAGGATCAAGAGGTGAGCGAACCCGGTATGTGTTCGCTCACCTCCCGATCTACTGAGCTGACCTGTGACAGTCTCATTGTCACAGGTCGGCTAGAACTATGAGGTGAGTGAAAAGCACTCACCTCATAATTCTTCTTTAATGTAAAATTCATTTTTCAAAAAAATTGCTGTCTGCGTTTTGCTGGCCTTGTGATGGCTGCCCCTCTATTTTTTCTATGGGTGTCACAGGAACAGAGAGTAAGGAAAAGTTCAACCTCAGTGTTATTGACAGAAATAAAAACCTGATGATTTTCAATTGGTTCCACTATAAGCCCCAAATAGGGTTGTACCTGCATCCCTAATACAAATAGAGTTACACCAAATACAGAATGTGACTTTTTAGGAGCAGACATCATTCACACAAAATGATCTTATTTTATTTTATACACATTAAATCAGGCAGGTTTCTATATGATTGATTCACAAGTTTTATACATCAATAGAACATCCCTGTCTGCCCATCACAGAAGAATTTGCAAATGAGAAAAATACAAAATTGTAACTGCTCAACCTCCACCAACAACTGAAAGTCCAGGAATTTCTTGTGCACATCAGGACTTCCGTAAGCCTCTGTCTGTCATAGAAAGAAGTTCCAACATTCATTGTAAATCCAAATATTAGCTCACATCTCTAACGCATTTCAGTCACGAGAGGTGTTAGTCACCGCTATGACTAAGGCCCTTGGCGAGTGAAATGCGTAAGCAATTTTAACATGTGAGCTGTAATTATGGATATACAACAAAATGTTGGAACTTGCAGCTGTGATCCAGGCACAAGCTCTTTATAGTTTGCAAATACATCTCGTATTCCATTCAATTTGTAAAATACATGCCAGTCACAGAGATCAGTGAATTCATGGATGGGAAGACAATGACTTCTCAACGTGTTCCACGAACCAAAGGTTCACGTCCTTGAGAGGACATATTAGGTATCTACAATTAGGACCCATTCACACTATGTGCAGTGACTGGATTTTTTTTGCACTGGATCACTGTTAGTCACCACTAGGGCACATAGAAGATAATTGTTTTCTATGTGCCCCATTTACAGCCCAATGTGGGAGTGATGTGTGGTGGACTGTAGTAAAATGTAGACATACTGTAATTGATGCCACTATAGATTACCACACCTCAGCACAATGTAAAGTGCTGCCGTGCAGAGACATGAATGGGGTGCACTTTGTACTCCCCAATAAAGATAAAAAAGAGACAAAAATAGGTAAACATTGCTCTGTGCTGTAACAACACTAGGCACCGCGGCCCACCACTGCCACCTAGTGCCGCGCAAATAGTGTGAATGAGTCATAATACAAAGACGTTATTTACTGTTCAATGATATTGAGGACATACTTGTTTAAATCACAACCAGTGAACATTTACTTACATAACTTTGTTTTGTTACATACGTATTAGAATCAGTCAAATATATATTATAATCATGTAGAATTAAAACCTGACAGACATTTTATCTCTTCCCCTCTCTATCCAAAGCTGAAAAAATGCTTGTAGTATGGCTTTAAGAGACAAATTTTATGGATGCTATAGACCCTGAGTGTAGCAATAATAAAACTATTTTTAGAATTGGATTTGAGTACACAAGTAACAACAATACTATCATTTTATTGTTCATATTAACCACCTGCTGTCCGGCCGTTGTAATTAAACGACCGGACAGTGGCTTCTTGAATGCGGGTGGGCGTTTTCAAACGTCTCATCCTGTCACGCTCGTGCCCGGGCGGCGGGCATGTGCGGGAATTCCTCCTGCAATGTAAACAGCCGATGATGGCTGTTTACATACAAGCAGTTGAGCGTCTATAGAGACGCCTGATCGCTTGTAATAAGCGTGCGGGTGTGCGCCCCCCCGCCGCAGCTGCTGCTGGCGATCCCGAGCTCTGCTGTGCCCGGTGCGAGCCCGGGACCAGCTCTGCGGCCGGAGATCAAACAGAGCTCAGTACACGAGTTCCGTTTGATCTCCTCTTCGGAATGCAGGGAGTGATGTGTATTACATCACTCCCTGCATTCAGTGTCACTCTCCGGTACAGAAACCAGAGAGAAGCTGGTGAAGCAGGTGTTTGCTTCATCAGTTTCTCTGGGGGTCCCTAGGTGACATTAGGGGTCTTAAAGACCCATGATGTCTTCATAAAGAGGACCTGTCACTGAAAATTGGCTATCACAAAGGGGGCCTGTTAGTCCCCTATGTGATAGCAATAAAGTTAAGTGAAAAAAAAATGTTTAAACAAAAAAATATAAAAAAATTTAAAGTCACATATAAAAGGTAATAAAAAAATTTAATTTTTTTTTAAGTCCCCCGCCCCCCACATAAACATGCAAACATGCGTCGAGTGCGCCTAAGTGCGTAAACGACGATTGCATCCATTACGCCGCACATGTTATGTATCGCGGCAAACGTCGCAGTGAGAGCAATAATGGCCAATTTTGGGTATGGTAGTTTTTACGAGTTCGCGGACGCACGCAATTTTAAAGCTTAACATGTTTGGTGTCTATTTACCCGACGTGACCCCAACTTTTATATTTTGCCAAAAATGTGGGTAATAATAACTGTTTTATAACATAACGTAGGGAAAACTGTTTTTTTCCCCCAAATTTTCTGTACTTTTTTCATTATATAGTAAAAAATAAAAACCCCAGTGATGATTAAATACCACCAAAAGAAAGCTCTATCTGTCCCCAAAAAATGGTATAAAATTCATTTCAGTACAGCATTGCATGACGGAATAAATGTCAGTCAAAGTACCGCAGCGCTGAATACTGAAAAATGGCCTGGACAGGAAAGGGGTGTAAGCACCCCGGTCAGCAAGTGGTTAATAAAAGTTGTGGTATCACCAACACTGTTTAAGGGTCAGAATGAAATGAATCCGTTTCAAGCAGTCCTTAACATTGATATGTGCACTGCATACAGCAATGGACTTTACACTTACTAATGAGTCCATTATAAAACTATTATCTTTTACTAAGTAACTACTTAATAAGTACTTAAAGTGACACTAAACTCAGGAGTGAAATATTAAAAACGCATTCAAGTACCTCAAGTACCTCAACTATTAACAAAAATGTATCTTAGTTGTGTATCACTCAGCTGTAGATTCTCAAATCATTTTCTGAATTGGTGCTGACACTGTCCTTCCTTTTGGAGGGTGACTACTTTTGTGCTCCATGGTCCCTTTGTGTGTTGTGTGTTGTAAAGTAAACACCGCTCCCAGCTTACTCCTGTGATGGACTACAATCTCAATACGAATTAATAAACTAAATGTGAGATTGTTGTCCATCACGGGATCGAGCTTGGAACAGTGGCTACTTTACAACACATACAGGAACTATGGGAAACAAGAGTAATCACCCTCCAGAAGGAAGGACAGTGTCCGTGTAAATTCAGAGATGATTTGACGATCTACAGCCGAGTGATACACTCAGTTACATTTTTGTTAATAGTTAGGGTACTGAAAGCCATTTTATGAATGAATTCCTAAGTTTAATATCATGTTAATATTCCATTTATCTAGAAGCTGCTTTTATAGTTACTATATTTTATTTGCAGCATAAAAAGAATACCGTATTTTTCCGTCTATAAGACGTTTTTTGCATAACTGATTACATCCAGTTTAAATTTTGCAGAGTAAGACAGACGCTTAATGGTACCGGTATTTACCGGTATTTTTTTTTGTTTTCTGACATTTTTATGGGCTCCCACTTGCATCTGGGCACTGGCTACACGCTCTCCGCAGCATCAGCTGACGTTGGGTACATAAGGCTCATGATTGGAGGAAACCTGTTAGATTGGAGGAAAACCCCGTGTGTAAGACGCCACTCCATTTTTAGGTAAATATTTTTAAGAAAAAGTATAGTCTTATACACGGAAAAAAACAGTATATGAGCCACAATCTTCATGTGTGTGCAGGTCCCTTGTGTCATCCCTTCAGGCTCAGGCAACAGCTTCCTTAACAACCATTGATGTTGATAGTGTGGGCAGAGCCTGATGGGGTTGCTGAGTATCACCGCTAGGTTCTGCTCTGTGTTCAGGCCTCTTGTGACTTTAGTGGACGTGAAGCAGTCTTTCTCGACATGTTTTCGTGGACAGCGTCCACTTCCTTAGGGGACTACACACAGGTAAGAATGTGTAGACATATAGACATATAATTAGACATCGGTGACAGACAAGGTTCATTTTTCAGGGTACTTCTTAGGCACAATTGACATTTCTAGGTGTTCCCTATAATAAAGCTTCACTTTTTAAAATTGATCTCAACTTTATTATGTGTGCCAGGAGACATGTAGCAACTTAAGGAGGGACTGAACTAGACCCACTCTATTTTGTGAGGAAATTGTTATTTCCTTCTCATTTTGTAGAGCTTTAACGCACAAGAAAGATAATATTGATATTGATTTTTTCCATTGTTTATAGTAAATAGTTCTTGTATCCCAAGTAATGAAGAGATGCAAGAAATGCTCACAAAGCATGCTGTTCCTTATTTGTGTTTTTCTGCTTTGCAGCCTATACTTAGCACATCAAAACACATGGACAAGTCCTTTGCATATAAATTTCTTCATCCTTGGCTTGGATTGGGGCTCTTAACTAGGCAAGTATATACCTTACCTTTATTTGAATGCATATGACACTTTCTAAACACTTTTTTTACAGGTCTATTCACAAAAGGGTGAAGAGTTAGGAGAAGGCAGGAGAAGTGAACAATCTAGGACAACATAGCTGAACTGGAAAGTGAGCTGAATTGGAGAATTTTTCCAAATCAGCTATGTTGTCCTAGATTGCTCACTTCTCCTCCCTTCTCCAAACTCTTCACCCTTTTGTGAATAACCCCCTCAGTGTTCACACTGGAATCGGCGTATCTTCTCAGAAGCTGCACACAGCGCGCCGGTTAAAGTAGTAACCAGCACACGCTGTATGCAGCTTCTGACAGCGTGGGAGACGGGAGGCTGGGCTTGTCGGTGGATCCAGGGTTCAGGTGAGTATTAAAAAAAAATATATGTTTTATTTTATATTTCTGGGGACATAATTTGTCAGGGGATGGTCTCCTCAATCCGGGGACTGCACTGATCACCTGACAGTCCGCATTGGCCATCTGAGAGCCTAATTAGGGAGCCTCCTCTGCTGCACCTACACGCACCAGTGAAACTCTCTGGACCCCTGGTGAGAGCCCACACAACCCTCCTGATACCCTGGTGACATCAGGCGGCAAACCCAGAGCTTCATATTATTCTGCATTGCTGTAATGTGTATTGCTGGGATTTGTAGTCCTCTATTGCTGATGCTATTCTGCATTGCTGTATAATGGTATTGCTGGGAATTGTAGTTCTCTATAGCTGTTGGTAGTCTTCATTGCTGTGTAATGTATTATTACTGGGATTTATTGTCCTCTATAGCTGATGGTATTCTGCATTGTTGTGTAATCAGGGGTGTGGAAATTTAAAAAAAAACTACTTGTCCAAGGGCTTAAGTGGGGGCCGAATCTACTTGCCCTTCATGCCAATCTACTTGTCCCAATACAAAAAAATAGTTTTAATCAAAACTAGGGATGCACCAATGCCGGTTTTTCGGTATCAAATACAAGTACCGATATTTTACTTTTGGTGCTCGCCAATACTGAATACCAATACCGGTGCTTCCACTGGCATGGAGCAGGCTTCCCGGGTAATCAGGAAGCCGGCAGCGGGTAATGACATGCCGCCCGGCTTCCTGATTGCCAGGGAAGCCGGCTCCATGTTGTTTGGCTGGCTTAATTGTGATTGGCCGGGAAACCGTCTTAAATAAAATATTAACCGTTCTGTAAGCAAAACTTAATTTTTTGGCAGTGCCCCTCCCGAGAATAGACTCGGGAGCAGCCATATTCTTGGTATAACCACTTCCAGCGGAGGACGTACATTTACGCCAACTCGCAGGAAGTGGTTAAAAAAACACACACACGTAAGGAAAAAAACACACTTATCACAAACTCATTCAAAAAGAACACACATACACATTCATTAAAAAAAACACACACTCTCACAACTATTAAAAGTAAAAATAGTAAATAAAAAAATGTCCCCCTCTCCTGCTTACCTGTTTTGCAGGAAGGGGGGCTGCATCCCTGGACAGAGGATGCACAGAGCACAGAGCACCTCAGGTGATAATATGAAGTGTGCGGGCCCCGGCTTCCTCCGGTGCTGCGGGGGTCCGGCCGCCTCCAACTCCCGCCAGGCACCTGCATGGCCGTCGGCCGATACACATGTAAGGTTCCCGGGCCCCTAAGGCTGCCCGGGCCCCTTACATGTGTATCGCGGTACCTCCCTGGCGGCGGCCCTGATCCCTATAATATTCTTTCCATGTCTGTAATGTTTGGAGCTTTAAAGCAGAACTCTGGGCAAATCAAATCTTAACCCTTGCGTTGGGGCTCACCTTGCACTGCAAGGATTAAGTGCTCATTTTGTCTAGGGAGCTAAAATAACAAAGTTATTTCAGCTTGCTCCTATAGTGCTCCCTCCAGCCTGTCTCCTCCTCTGCTCCAGCGTCCTCATGTCCAATATACTACTGGACTGCTTAGTGGAGCGGAGGGGGAGTGAGGCTGAAGGGACCATGCAGGGTATACCTGTGCAGTTTCCTGAGGGAAAGTCTTATGGCTTCTATTAATAATTCAACCGTCTGCTCTTTTCCACATATACATACTAAATAATTCAGGTTAAATTCTAAGTATCTCGGTTTAGGTTGGATTAGAAGATGAAGAGGTTAGTTTGAAGAAGGTAAACAAACACAGAAGGAGACACCAGGCAGTGAAACACTCCCACTCCAGCATGAATACACTAAAAAATATTTGCAAATAGTGTATTAAGTGTAATCTGGAGTTTTGCCTCATAGAAAACTACACACATGCACAGGTAGGTGCATAGAAAAGGCAATGGATTGACAAGCAGGTCCCAAAGAAGACCGACCAGCTGACGCGTTTCGGGGGAGCATCCCCCTTCCTCAGACCAGCCGCAGCTAGTCGGTCTTCTTTGACACCTGCTTATCAATCAATTGCCTTTTCTATGCACCTCTATGTGAGTAGTTTTCTTTGAGAATTATCTCTATATTTAATAAAGGTTGTTACACTAGGAGAGGGCGCCGTCTGTTCTTTTGTTTTACATGATATCTGAGGATACTTCCTAGTGGCCTTGAAGCCCCTTCACCTTTTCATTGATGTAGAAGAAAACCCTAATGCTGAGCGCTGCAGTATTTATAGTTTGAGAACAAAGGACATCTTTTGAAAGAATAAGTGCCCTTATTCTTTTTTCCCCCCTGCCCAGACCCAAAAGATCCCAACCCTCCGCAGATCTATACGTACTGAGAACCAATGGCCGCTGCTCTGCCGTTTGATGTCATCCAGTGTTCCAAGTCTTCCTCTTCTGGCTGCATTTGTCTCCTAGATAGTAGATGTCCCCAAAGGGCTGTATTGTGCAGGTTCGGCCAGAAGTGGGAGCATTGTGTCGATGGGTGAAAACTAGTGAAACCATGTGCGCCAGATCTCTAAACACGGATCTGCGCGCGGTGGTGGGGATAGAGGGGTGGGAGAGCACAAAGGATATGTGCACTTTGTTGTGGAGTATGTATTTGAGGGCAGTAGGTAGACCTTCTTCGAAACACAGATTTGTTAAGGAGGTTAATCATTTAGAAAATCTACAACTCCTTAATATAACATAAAAAAGGTGCACTGCGCTCTTACAAAACTATTAGGAATTAATATACCTAAACCAACCAAAAAGAAAAAGTGATCACATACTTAATTGAAAATAATCCACCAAATAAAAACACTTATAAAAAAGATCAAAGTTTCCATCAGCATGCTCCCAGTGAAACATCCACTTCAGTGATATCATCTGTATCTTATTCCAGTTCCTTAAAATGCTTAACAAAACTTGAGACTTTAAATATAGGCATGAAAATGACTTCTTGATCTTTGTTGTTTATGAATGGCTCTGTTGCTCTTCCTGTCGCAGCAATCATTGCTTGCAGGTCAGGAAGGAAATCTCCCCAGCTGAGACACAGACTGCAATGAAACTTGGCAGAAGCCCTAAACCTTGTATATTTCTAACTGACATTAGCATTTCATTAATATTTTGACAGAATTATTCAGATTCATTATGGTTCCATTTCCATATAACTGTGAGCTATATACAGTATATATGTAGATATAGATTTTACTGTTTTTGTACACAAGTGGAAAGAACTCTAAGGACTCTCCACTCATGACACCTAGTGATAATTTTGCAGACTGCACTTGCCCAATCAGTAAAAACGTTGAAGGTATTCTGAAATTAATGATGTACAGTCCAGTTCCTGGAAAAATAACAACAACATTCTAAATTTCCAGCACTGGGGAAAAGTGGAGAACAAGAAGAAAGATGATAACTCCAACTTTCCACTTTGCCATCCTTGCTGAATTCTTGGAAGTTATGAATGAGCAGTCAAAAATATTGGTGGATAAGCTTCATACTCGTGTTGGCAGTGGATCCTTTAACTGCTTCATGGATATAACTCTTTGTGCTTTGGATATAATATGTGGTAAGTCTTGCAATTATTGAGAGCACAGAGGGTTAATGTGTACAAACTAGGACAAAGAAAACTGCCAAAAGGCTGCTATAATAGAGTTACATTCATTTTTCGAAACTATTATAGTTTTCATTTCAATTTCTGCTGTTTGTTTACATCTGTTACTCTAAAATGGGTGTACATAAGCATGGGGTTCACTAGTCTTGGACACTTGCATCTCTTTACTACAGGTCTATGGGGTACTACAGGTTTAAGGGGTTGTATAGGCAAAATCTAAACTATTTTTGGTGTTTGTATTTTATACATAGTCCCTGGTTTTAGTCCATTTACACAGCTCTCCACCCTTTTCAGTCAATGGACTCCAAATCCAGGCTGTCATCTATGGAGAGAGGTCTCCAGCAGTAGCATCAAAGTACACGAAGCCTCTTAGGGGAAGGTATTAAGGGCTTAGGGGGAATAACCACTAAACATCATATGTTCTAGTTGTTACAACCCATTTAAGATAGAATTGCTGGGATTATTTGCAGTCCTATACAAGAAAACCACAATGGTTAGGCAAATCATGTCATCATGGTCTGATTTTTGCAGCGGGTCACTGAGTCTTGTTGAATTAGACACTGAGTGGTTGGTTTGCTAAAGGCAGATAGGCTATTCACTTTGCAAGGGAATATTTCCTTATCTCAGAGAATGAGGTGAAGCTTTGCTGACTTCCATCACCAAATCGTGTGCAACAAAAATACCGTTTTAAAAAAAAATTTCCTTGCACATGATTGCGTATCTTTTGCAAAGTAAATTTACACCTCATTCTCTAAGCTAATGGAAAATTCTCTTGCAGAATGAACAGACTATTTGCCTTCAGTACATCAACCCCTGAGGGCTGGTTCACACCACAAAGGCTGCGTTCCAGCCTTTGGAACGCACTGGAACGCAAGCCGGCCAAATCCCTGCATTCAGGGGCGGGAGGGAGCGTGGCGGTGCATTGAAGTCAGTGGCACCGCAGCCACGCCTCCCGCTCGCAGTACGATCACCCTTCACCTGGAATGCAGGCACATTAGTGCTTGCGTTCTGGTCCAGTGCGATTTGTAAAAATAGTGCTCGCAATATACTTTACTATTATTTAGAAGTATTTGTATTATTTCTGTCCTAATCTATCTGCTATTATAGGAGTATATTAGGAGTAATTCTACCCTGTTAATGTGTTGTAATGTTCTTTATTATGTTATATTATATGCACAAGAATGTATTTCCAGAATAAAAAAGAATGTTCTATTTTGCCACAAATAGGTTTTTAATTTTCATAAGAAAACAAAAAAAATCCTCTGCAATAAAATACAGTAAGACGTCTAATAGTGGGTGCTCCCCAGGGACCAAATGTGCTTTATAAGTTAATATTTTTGGTCTGGTGTGTGAAACTTTGTACTAACCAGGTTCACTTGTGAGCAGATTTTGGCTCTCTAAAGAGGACGCCTATCAAATACTGGAGGGGGAGAGAATTCTCAAAGGGTTGAAACTACATAATAGAAAGCAAAACATCCAAAAATCTTTGAGGGGGGGATTCCTTGCACTTTTTCTTTTCCTTTTCCTGATGACTAAGGCCTGGTTCACACCTGGGCGTTTTACAGCGCTGATCGACGAGCTGTAAAACGCTCAGCATGTGAAAACCAATAATTGCCTATGGGCATGGTTCCCACCTGGGCGTATTTCAGCGCGTAGGAACACGCTGCAAAACGCCCTACGCCCAAAGAATTACAGGAGGTTCTTTGGGGCGTATTTTCCACGTGTATCCATTAGGATACAGCCGGATAGCCCTCCTAGACGTGCGTTTGTCGCGCGGTTTTTTACAGCAAATCGTGGTAAAACTGCGTGGCAAATGCGCATATTCCATACGCTCAGGTGTGAACCCAGCCTAAAGGATAATTGGGGTGATAAAGGGCTCACAGACGTCTTACAAACAACTGCACAGGTAATCATGTGGTTGATGCACAATCAGCTAGTGTATTGAGAAAAAGATCATTGTGACAGGAGCGTGAATACATTTCTGCAGTGTGGCTTCACATTCTGTACTGTTTGTGGCCAGCCCAGCAACCATGTACAGCAGCAGGAGTCCCCTTTGATCTTCCCCATTTCATTTAGGGAGACCCTTTTTGGCAAAGTATAGAGTATGACCTTCTCTAGCTTTCATCAGGGAAAGAGAAAGCTGATCAGTTTATTTAATTGTATTCCCATAGCAGACCCACTGTAAGAGAGAGTCGGACTTAAATTGTTATCACCTTCTCCATTGAACGTGGATAAGCAGTTCAAAACTGTAGATTGTTGGGCTGCAATAGCGGGTGAACTCCTTTTTCTAATTACCTGGCCTGTACAGGGCCAGTGCAGTGTTTACGTTCTTCAATGCTGCTGATGGTGTCATGGGGTGGTGTTGGAACTTCTTGCACAGCCTCACAGAGAAACAAAGGCACACAGTCTGACATGCATGCTGCATGTAGCTTGAAAAACAGGAAGGAAGCCACAGCTTTATTCTCTACCTTATTCAATACAAAAGAGCACATACTGTAGATACTGTATAGCAGAACTTATAAACACTGCCATCTAGTGACCGAAATTGTATACTGCAGGAGTTGTTGCTATAAACACAGTTTTGTGTATTCTAACAGGTGGTGGTCCAGTCCAACACAGCCCACATTCTCATACTTCTCCAAGAGTATGCTGTCTGCCCCTTGTGCTACTGTCAGCAGCATTGGAGAATGTCAGCATTGCTCTGGCTTTGCTCTTTTTTTTAGCTGGAAGAATCATTTCTGTTGGGAACAATCAACTGATTTGTATCTAATTTGTTTTCTAGAGACGGCCATGGGAACGAAAATCCAAGCACAGAACAACAGTGATTCTGATTACATCAAGGCTATCTATGAGTATGTATTATACATAAGGCCAGTGTTTAAAATGTAATGTATAGTATTAGTGGTGAGAGCAGACTCAGAATACCTAAGATAATTATCTAAAGTATTGTATATGTAAAACCAAGAGATCTGGAAATAGAGATTAGCAATACAAGTAGGAATGTCATTTTGTAAATCACCGCCTGCCTGGAGAGTGTTCAAAGAGGGAAAAGGCGTGATTAAAACAATCATGTCATCTTACATTGTTCTCAGATTGTCTCTGTTTTATATTATCAGAATACAAAGTGGCATAAATGAACTGTGTCTCATTCTGCATGTGATAACATTGGACTACAGGAAACTCAGATTGCAGCTTATGTATCAACATGTTCTTACTAAGAGCTATTTCCTCCCAGCCACCAATCAGATTGAGATTTTTGTGGTAGATATGATGCTGATTGGTGGCCCGCAAAAGAAGTAACTGTAGTCCTTATGACTCTGGTCCATTTGGGCCTTAAAGAAGAACTCTGGGGGGAAATATTTATTGAGCCTTAAAGGAGAGCTATGGGGTTAATGCTTTTCCCCATAGTTCTCCTTAGGGTAACGGGAGGACACAAACTAGCGTCCTCCCGTCACCCTAAGCTCAATATACCGCGAGCTACAGCCCGCGGTATACTGAGACGCCACAGTATACCGCGAGCTACCGCTCGCGGTATCCTGAGACACCGCAGCTGAAGCGGATCCCGTCAATTATGTCTGGATCCGCCCAGCTGCGTGAGTGACAGCTGGCTCTGCCTATCTAAAGGCAGAGCCAGCTGTACCCGTCCCTTCCCCCATCCGATCCGCCAGTCAGCGCTGGCGGATGAGAGCGGGAGGGGGGAATCCAGCCCCTCCCCTGTCAGGGCAGAGGGCTGTGACAGGATCGAGAGGTGAGCGAACGCCGGTATGTGTTCACTCACCTCCCGATCTACTGTCTAAGAACAAGCTGTCTCAAATGATCGGGTGAGTATAACTTTTTTTTTTTTAGAACTTAAAAATGAGCAGTTAACTGTTGGAGTGCGGGGGTAGCCCCACTGCAAGGGTTAATACATTTTGTTTCCCCCGTTTTCTTCTTTAATGTTCAAAGATGTTTTATAGGAGTTGTCTGTGTTGCCTCACATTTTAAACTTAAAGAAGTATTGGGAAAGTAAAATATATTCTTTTCAATACTTTGAGCTGTCATGGGACACTGTAGCTGGCACATGCAGGCGCTATAAACCCAGAGCTTCGCGATGATGTAACTGCTGATTGTGTGGTGAAAAAAGCAGTAGTTCAAACGAATGGCAATGCACCGCACCTAGTGCACGGTAACAGGCATTAGGTGCGTTGTGGAATAGCATGTGTTAAATGTAACAATATAGTGTGAACGGGCTCTAAATCCTTGATACATTGCCTCCATTAGTCTGTGATTGTTTTCAGCTGTATCTGATTGTATACTCTGAAATGGATGACATGCATATGTGTATTATAAATTGTTCTATAAAAAAATTGTTCAATAAAAGAAAACAATAAGGAATTAGAACAAGTGAGCGAATGATAATGAAATATCTATAGCACTTCCTCACAAATAAACCTACTCAGCTCATTGAGTATCCTTTTCAACAGAATGAGTGACATAATACACCGTCGGCAGAAGATGCCCTGGTTGTGGCCAGATTTTGTGTACTCACGTCTGCAAGCTGGAAAGAATCATCATAAAAACCTGAAAATCCTCCACTCATTTACTGATAAAGTAGGTGAATCACAAACAATAACATCTACCTTCACACGTTGGCTTTCCTACAGCATTCTGTGGTTTCAGTTGTGTGTCCCTGAGCCCATACGTTTATACATGTGTTAAGGGTGCTATCACATTCACATCTATGTACGTGTTCATATCCACATCTGTACAACATAGAGTTCACATCTTCACATTTTGTAAGGATTTGCTGTGTGGCCTGAGATGGTGCTATATGCAAAAGGAGGTAACATGATGACATTTTGTAGTTTTTTGTATTACAGGACAGAAAGTCACCTTTGTGCTTGAACTATTCCGACCTCACATCACATTCCTTTCAAATATCCCCAGTTTTTTTTATACACAAATGTTTTTAAAGCTTCATCAATGATCTTTTAAAAACAAATTACATTGGTCCAGCTCGGTTATAATTCTTCATATGTCACATATGGAGATGCAGAAATTCACTGTTGTAATCTGTGCTACATACACTTAGATCTGGTCTCTTCTGGATGCTGCTGGAGCAACTTCCTCTCTGTATACTATACACAGGTATTTGTTTGCTCGGCACCTCCACCATTCATAAAACGTCTTGAATCTTTTTCAATTACATCATTTGCCCCTGCTCTCTGCCTTGTCCAATCAAAGAACACCTTGTGTTCATTGAAAAAATACAAGTCGTTCTCTGAATGGTGCTGGGCCAGTAACCCCCTGTGTTCCATATACAGAGGGCAATTCGCTCAAGCAGCACCTGGAAAAGAGCAGTACGGACTGTATGTAGCACAGGCTACTACAGTGAATTTCTGCATCCCCAGTGGATCCCTGGATGTGAGATATGAAGAGTTAGAAGTAACCAAGCTGGACCAATGTAAGTTTTAAAAAAGATAATTCCTGGAGTTTAGCTTTAAAGATTTACTTTGGAGCGCACTATTAGCCCACATGAAGTACTTGCTGTCCGTTTTGAATTTTATTTGAGTTGTGTGCTTGTTTACAGATATGCCTTCTTAATGTGTACCAGATAGTCTAAACATTTTTTGTGTAGGTTATTTGCTAGTCTTAATTGAACGCTAGCATCCTAAAGAAACCGATGTCTTAGCATTTTGTGTGTATTTAGATGTGTGCTGATGTGTGAAACAATGCATTGTGTTTTCTTATTCACAGACCATTTTAGAAAGAGCGCAAGAACTGAAAAACGCTGAGGCATTTCCCGATGACAGTGCAGAGTCTAAGAAACCCAAAAAACGAAGTGCTTTCTTGGATATGCTTCTCAAAGTGACCGACGATGCTGGTAATACCTTAAGCCACAGGGACATCCGTGAAGAAGTTGACACATTCATGTTTGAGGTACTTTAGTTAGCTGGAGGTCTAATAAACCCTCAATTACCTTTCTTGCTAGGCATTTGTTATGGAGTTTTTAACACTGCTGAATGCAGAGGTTTCAGCATATTAGTTCTGTGAACTTTGATGTATAGAAACAACCATAAACATAGACTTCCACTACAGTGTACACATCTGTCACCCAGTCTAAGCATCAATAAAAAATAATTCACACCATACACTAAATAGCTGATCGTTTTAACCTAGTAATAAGGTAAATCCAATGTAGCTGAACACAGCAAATAATACTCTAAAAACATTTAAAACCCCTCACACTTCTTCAGGGCTCTGCATGTATATCAAATGGTACTATCAGTGTATACCCCGTGTACATACACCATAGTATTGATTACACCCTCCTATACAAAAGCCTGATGTATGTCCATCTATCCAAATGTCAGTATGAGAACTGTTGTTCCATAATAAAGTATACTGTATAAATGCCTCTCATATATTCCTTATGTAAATCCTACCCCACACATAGCAGACCAGCATATACTGTTGTTCTTCTCCATCCAATCCATCAGTCCACTTTGTACAGTCAGTCATCAAAGTTCCAGTGTCAAATGGGTTATCAACCCCTCCAAATGTGATATATGAGATATATGCCACTTCAAACATTGATGTGCCCAGTATGTATGTATGTATGTATGTATGTATGTATGTATGAGCCTGCTAAATTATGTCCAAAATCCTTGAAATCACCTGCTTTCCCATATACTCAGACTCTGTATTGTTTAGAATTAACTTCATGTAAATTTAAGATGTCCCAACACAATATTCCTAGTCCGTGCTCATTTGTGCGTCCAGAGACAGAGCGTATCATTCCCTTCTGCACAGGCATCTAACTGGTGTGAAATGAACAGCCTTCTATTATACGAGGTATTGCCACATGTGACATGTTCATAAGAGTGTAAACGATCTCACCCGTCCTTACAGAGTCCAAGCAGGCCACATCCATCCTAAATATTCCACTCAGACCAATTGTGCAGGGTAGCACACCATCAAGCACATAAGGGCTTGACTTTGAATCAATGGCGGACCTACTGAACAAAGGGCCCTGGTGCAAGATTTTTTTGGGCCCCCCCCAAAAAAACCCCCACAAACACCGCCCTCTCCTCTCACAGCGCTCGGCCGGCTGTCACTTTCTCTCCTCCCCGCTGGGACACAGAGCAGCGCCCAGCGGGGAGGAAAGAAACCAGGGATGCGCCACAGCAATGCCACATTTACAGCAATGCAGAATGGCACGGGCTATAGAGGACTACACATCCCAGCAATACTTTATACAACAATAGCATTTCTGTATAAAGAACTGCTGAGATTTGTAGTCCTCTATAGAGGGTGCCATTCTGCATTGCTGCAACAGTACTTTATACGACATTAGGGTAATTATTTACCCTTACCTCTTCTGTCTTCAGCTGTTTCCTGTGTGTTCTGTGTGCTGGGTCCCCACTGCCGTCCGAGGTCCCATGGCTGCCCCATGATGTGCCTGCAGGGCCGTCTTCAGTGCCTCCTTGTTCCGCGGCTCCCTCCTCACAGCGGCCGGCGGGCCCCATACTATCTCGGCCGGCGGATGGGCCCCCCATTTCAGCGCCTTGCGGGGCGGGCCCCCCCTT